CCTCTGCCCTTACATAAGGCGCCCGGCCGGGCCCTGCCCTCCCTCCCCGCCGGTAGGTGAGGGCCGCGGGGCAGCCCGGCCCGGCCCGGCCCTGCCCGCCATCACGGGCCGGACACCGCGGCTGCCGTGTGCGGGTGTGTGAGGGAAGTTATTTCCCCCTCCGCCCTCGCAGCCGCTTGTGGGGTTTCTTTTTTCTTCTGCCTTCCCTTTTCCTCACTTCTTCATGAGCCAGGGCTGCTCGTTGTCCAGCCCTGGGAGCCCCACCTGAAGGGCTGTGTCCCGCTTTGGATGCCCCAGCACAGGAAGGACATGGAGCTCTTGGAGCGAGGCCAGAGGAGGGCCAGGGAGAAGCCCAGGGGGCTGGAGCACCTCTGCTAGAAGACAGGCTGAGAGAGTTCAGCCTGGAGAAGTGCAGGCTCCAGGGAGACCTTATAGCAGCCTCCCAGTACCTGAAGGGGCTACAGGAAAGCTGGGGAGGGGCTTTTTGCAGTGGCGTGTTGTGAGAGGACAGGGGGTAATGGGTTGAAACTGGAAGAGGGGAGATGTAGGTTAGGCATTGAGAAGAAATTCTCTAGTGTGAGGGTGGTGAGACACTGGAACAGGTTGCCCAGAGGATGCCCCCTCCCTGGGAAGTGTTCAAGGGCAGGTTGGATGGGGCTTTGAGCAACCCTGTCTAGTGGGAGGTGTCCCTGCCTGTGCAGGTGGATTAGAACTAGATTATCTTTAAGGTCCCTTCCAACCCAAGCCTTTCTATGGTTTAAGCCACCCAACCATGGTTCTCTAGCCAGCCAGGCATTTTGTTGAGAGCTGCAGTTAGTCCCTATGTTGCTGGAGACTGCTGTGTCTGTTGAAGGCAACGGCAGAGGAAGGGAGGAGAGTTTTCCAGGGCACCTGCTTGGGGCAAGTGCTACTGTCAGCCAAATTGGTGCTGGAAATGGGGAATCATGTTTTGGGAATGGGGAGCAGAGCTACAGGACCTGGGCCTGCATCCTCTGTTGTGGAAAGCTGACAAGGGACACTTGTGCAGAAACACAACCAACCACGTGCCACACCAAGCAGCATTTTATGTAACAAATAAATGCTTGAAATTCTCAGCTCCTACTAATAGGGTAAAGTCTACTGGCAGGTTACACAAATGACCATTGCAATAGAGGAAGTGAAATTTGAAACGTGTTTTCAGATCCTCTGGAGTGTGTGTTAGAGCTATGAAGCCCAAGAGAATCACTTGGGAGTTGCACATCTGGACAGCCCATGTTAGCCATAGGCAGTTTTCATTATAGGTATGGTTTTAAGTACATTGAAGGGACTATGTGCTTACAAAGTTAATTGTGCAAATTAGGTGAATTCATTAATTCTGTGGTGTGCAGGGCCATGCGTAGAGAAGCTACTTTGGGAACCCTGAGTTTTCAAGAGCTTAAGTTACTTGGTTTCAATAGCAGAGTTAGGGGAGGAATGACTATTCTTTTTTGACCCTGTATGATAGCCTAGTACTTCATTTTCTAAACCTCATCACTCTGGCAGAGGCCCTGTACTGAAGTCTTCCATGTTTTCAGCACATTGTGTGACTATTAGGCTGACACAAAAGGTACATCCCACCTGGAAGTTTAAACTTTTGAATTCAACACTGTCTGTGCTAGGTATTGTGTGTGAAAAACAAGTTTTCAGAGGGCAGAAAGACATATTTTCACAGTGATACTTTCTTCCCTCCAGCAACCATCAAGCTAAATGTTCTACCTTTGCATGAAATCTGAAAATGCTTGTTCTTACTAAAACAGTTGAAAGAATTTATTTAAAACCAGCAGCTTCAGTCAGTTTTAACCTGTCTTGTTCTTGGAAATGGCTAGGAGTTTTTGACTGAAGTGTTCCTGAGCAGTTCATCCTGATTCTGATGCTCAAAATGGATACTTCTGGCCTAGGAAGGAACAGCTGGGCAATAGTGAGAGTGGAGGAATCCTGTAATGGAGAATGAGTGGCAGCCTGAGCTACATATACATACTATGATGTCTGTAAGTATGTAATTGTGAGCTACATGGAAATAGATTTGTGATAATCACCTACAATGTGCAATTAGCAACCAAAAATGTACAGCTTAGATTGCTTTAATGATGTTAGATAATCACACTCAATGTGAACAAGGCAGAAGTTAGGGTTATGTGAGTCCTGCATACAGGCTGGAATAATGTCCCCTATTCCTACTTTCAATCCCTTGGCCTGCTAGCCCTTTGGCTTCTCCCTTTCCCTCACAGCCTGTACAAGTCTGCCTGGTTGCTCTCCTCAAACCCCTGGCTCAGAGAAAACACACAGCAGGGGAAAACCAGAGAATTATTTGGGCATGCCTGCTGTTTTGAATATCCAGGCAGAAAACTGCAGTGCTGCCCAGCATTTTTATGGTGGTTAGAGAATGTCTCTTTCACCTTGGACCTTGTAACCCTCGGTGCATCTCAGTGTGCTGTTGCGAGAACAATAATGTTTCAAGGTCACTTACTCCACAGAATTAGCTGAGTTCTTTGCAGAAAATATGGTTTCGGTTTGGAAAACATTAGCCAACTCCAAAGAAAACAAAAAAAGGCTGGATGGTGCAGCCCTGAGGTACTAGCCAATGTGAGTATGCATGGCAGAAGCTGTCCATGAATCAAACAAAAATGTATTCTTGCAGCCAGACAATGAGAGCAGTTCATAATATTTTGGTGTTTAAGGAGTAATGGGCAGTTGCAGCGTATTACTCCTTGTAACATTAGAGAAGGTAAGATTGTTAGGAATACATTTTAGTGTAGAGTTGGGAGCCAGTGTCACCCTGGCACACACGCAACATTCTCTTGCTGGAGTGCAACAATCCCTGAATACACTAAGCTGAGAGATTTCTGCTTAGAAACACTTGCTTTTGCCTTACCAGGGGCCTAAGATTGTACCCAGAAAGGCATCCTCACAGCACAGTGTTGACACATCCATGAATAAATATTTCAGCCATGAAATCTCTCTCTGTCTGAACAGCTTCACATCAGAAGCAAGCTCTGCACGCTATCCCAACACCTAAATATTTCTGCTACCTCATTTCACCCCCTGTGATGTTTTGCTTTTGTATTATTTGAGAAGCAGGAGGCCACTGAGATTGTATGAGCACTCTCTGCTAACCCAGCCCTCACAGAGATCAGGCAGCGTGTCTGCAGGCAGTGTTGTGTGCAGGAGAAGGGTAACAATAGTTTTGCTTAGAGTTGGCTGGTGCTAAGGAAGGTCCAGTTTTGCAGTACTCTCACGAGCAAAATTTCTGCTCACAGCAAGAGTTGTGGCTGCATGGTGGATTTTGTACTGAATTTTAGGTTGACACACCTGGTTAGCTGAATTAGAATCCATTCTGGAGCTTTGGAAGTTTGGAAAGTTACAAGTTCTGGCTTCTTTCATTGTTGCTACTTGCTTAGCATTAAACTCCAATAGGACACTGCTCTGAATGTGAGGAAATTTTCAGACAAGGAATTCTTCTCATAGATTGGCAGCCAACACCTCAGATAGTTGTCATAACCAGAAACTGTTACATACGTGTAGCCTGGTTCCTGCACTGGAAGCGAAGTGATCAAGAGAGCCACAAGTCTGTTGAGCTCCTGGCATTTCCCTCACTTGAGCACAAAACAAAATGGTTTCACCCTGGCTAAACACAACCCAGTGCTTAATCCTGACAAAACATACCCAAGTTAACTGTTCCCCTTGGGGACTACAACACTTCTGGTGTATCTACACTATCAAACAACTCATAGCATATTCCCAGATCCTGATCCTATTATTGCCCATACTAGGCAAACAACTTTGGATGCCCAGGCTCTCCTTAAGTATTAAACAGATCCTTCTGTCCAAAACAAGCTCAAACATTGTCAGGGTGGATAGTTTGCTCAAGGGGTAATTAATTCCCAAGCACTATGGTTGAGACTGTACCACGGTTAACACTTGGCCTGGCACTGAACTGCATTCAGGCAGTTGCATTTGCCAATGTAGAAATAGCAGGTCTGCCACAAATGTAGGTATATTCCTCAAAGCAAACACAGATGCTGGAGTGTGGTGACTCTGAGTCTCCAGGTACCAGGATTTTCCATATAGTAATTAATTGAGGATCTCAGTATTTACTTAAAGCAAAAGAGCTGGTGAAAAATACCTCTCTGGCCCCCAGCTGCAGTAATACGACAAACACACCTTAGACTTGATCCGTCTTAGTTCCTGTCAAAGAGCAAGGGGTTTTAAGCAAAGTTTTAATTGCCTCCCAACACAAAAGAAAAGTTGAAAATACTGATTGCTGTGTTTCAGCATGTTTCACATTTTCTTCCCAGGGGACAGATGTAAGAGGTAGATAGATTACTCAAGAGCTGAAAAGCAATTATATATTATACAAGAAGTTTAAAAGCAGCTTCAAGGCCATCTTGCCAATCTCTTTTTATTTTTTTTTATTATTTTTTTTTTGAGAGAGAGAGGCTAAAATATCTGAAGGACAGCTGACTTTTTTAGTTGCTTCCCACTAGAGATCTGGCAGGCTGTTATACATTCTCTACTTTCTTTGCAGTTACCAATTTTCTAATTAAGTCTCTGTGCCTGCTCCCATTAAATCAATCAGAACATCACCACTGATTGTGATGGGAACAGGAGCATGCTTTAAGGGCTAG